ATATTTATTTGTTATATAATAATTTATCACCCTCTTATTAATCTCATTAAAAACCTTTTAAGCTTCAGATATAACTAATTATCATGTGATGAATAACTATTTACTATATATTACCTATAGTAAATATTTATTCTTTATATAATAATTTATCATATCTTAACTAAACTCAATAAAAACTTCTTCAGAGATAGTTATACCCTCTAAGAAGTTACATGAATTTAGTGATTGAAAAATATGTTTTATTTATGTAAATAGATATTAACTATTATATAGTACTATTTTTTTATTTTTTTATTTTATTTTTCAATAAAACCTTATACTAACTAATTTTTATTAGATTATTTATAGATTTATATTAGTTAGTAAGAGTACATTTAGTTATATAAATAACTTTAATTATTGTCTATTGAAACTTCTACTCTAAGATTACTTACTGAATACTATATCTAGTATTCCTTTGTAAATACTCTATTTAAACTCTTTAGCATTCTATTATCCCTAATATTAATCTAATTTTATTATTAAATCTATACAATCTCATACTACTTTATTAAAAACTATTTAGATTAGCTTATACTTCAGATTCTTTTATTAGGAAGAGCTCTATCTTAAGGTACTCTTTTGTCCTCTTTGGAGAGGCTTGTAGAACACTCTAACTATATTATATTATATTCTAATTAAGCTAGCATATATTCTTATAGATATTTATACAAATTTGGTTTCTATTGTAGCTCTCTACTAGATTAGCTCTCTATATTTTTAGATATTTTATAAGACAGATTCTTTCAAATTTAGTTAGTTGCTAAGCCAAGTTAATATTGCTATTTATGCAAGATACTAGATTATATTATATAGTAAACTTATTTATACCTACTTGATTTGTATTTTTTGTATATAGGCTTCTTTACTAGATCAAGTATTAACTAGTATAACTATTAAAATCTATATTACTTTATTTAATTTAGAATTTTTACTATACAATCCTCTGCTTATAGATTTTATTAAGATTTATTTGTATAATATAACTCAAACATTGTATTATACTTATAATATTTAATTAATATTAGTACAATATAATTTATAGAGTTACAATTTTCAAAAACAAATAGAGTTTACTATTAATTAAATACAAAGATCTAAATAATTATTCAAATTTATTAATAGTTAGATTTGAACTCTAAGCTTTTTGTATAGCAGTCTGTCAATCTAACTACTATATTAAGATTACTAAACCTTATAATACTATTAACTAATTCTATTTAATTTATATCAATCTAGTTTAAGTATAATAAAATTTATTAATTTGGTTTAGTTATATTAAATTTAGTTGTGAATATAATAAATATTTATTAATTATTGTTTAATTTAATTAAAGTAGAATTATTTATTTATTAATCAATATATTTAAGATAAGCTACTATATTTAAATTTATAGATATATTTACTATTATATTATTTATTCTATTTATTTATATCAATTTAATTAGTAAACAATTTAGTTAGTAAATAAAGTATTGTATAATTAAAAATATTGTAAGTTTATAGTATTTAATATTATATAATTTCATATTTAATAATTAGTTATTAGTCAATATATTTAAAATAATAACAATATATTTAATTCAATTATAATTAAATAGTTAAACCTAAATTTATTATATGTTTTACTTATAGAGGCTATAATACAATTCAATTTGAGATATAATTACAATTTTATGCAAACTATTAACAAAGTAACAAATTACAGTATAGTCAAAATAATATAATATTACTTAATATTTTATATTAGTAGATTAGAGATAGTAAATAAAATCAGCAATTATATAATAATGATCTAATTTATAATTAGCTATTAAGTCTATATAATTAAATTATTATACTGCTACTACTATGTATTCACTATTTAATAATACTAATATGAATATATCTAATATATATAATACAAATATTAATATATATATATATATTATTTTATTATATAGTGACTAATAATAGTATTAATAAATTTATAATTTATATATATCAAAAATTTAACTTTAATAAATTAGATCTATACTAAATAATCAAATAATTCTTGAATAAGTTATATGTATTTTCTAAAAAAATAATAATTAGTACAAGAAATAAAACTTCATAAAATAGGAGTAAAACTTTATAAAAAGTATTTGTGATAAATATTTGTGATAAAAATTGCAAATATTATAGAATTTATTTTATGTTAACAAAGAAATAAAACCTTATAGAAAAATAATTATAGTAACTAAATTGGAATAAAATGATTTTAACTTAATTCAATCTTAATTGCATAATGTAATATATATTTAATTTTGTTATACATCAGAAAAATTTTTTTACTACACAACTGTGCAGATTTTTAAGTAGTTAAATATATAGAGATCTGCACAAAACTTCGAACCTAGTAGTGATCATTGAAGAAACAATTTTTAAAATCTGCACAGAAATTATCAAAAAAATTTTTACAAATCTGCACAGAAATTATTGAAAAATATTTTTTAAAAATATGCGCAGAAATTATTAAAAATAAATTTTTAGAAATCTGCACAAAATTTATTAAAAAAATTTTAGAAATCTGCACAGAATTTATAAACTAATATTTAAATTTTATGCTAATTTCAATACTTGTTTTATTTATATTTAATAATTTTTTATTATAATAACAATAAATTAAAAATAAAACATATTTTTGAATGTTATAGTTAGATATTCTCGAATATCACAGAGTTGGATATTTTAAATATTATTCTTAAATATTATAAATTGGGTATATAATATTTTTTTTAGAACCTATTTATCTCAATAAAGTGAATCATTGAATAAATAACAAGATTAGTAATAGAATTATCTAGTGGTTCAAGTTTATTGATTAAATAATAATGGTTAAATTTGCAAGAATCTTGATTTTATCTTGCTTTTCTGAAGAAATTTTACATTACAATAATCTTTAACTTATTTCCAGTTTGATTATCTCATTTGTTTTAATCATATTTCTAACAAGCTCATATTTTTTTTTGATATTTAGAATCTATCTTGAAGAATTAATTATATTTTATATGTAATAAATTATAAAGAAAATGAAAAATGTGCTAATTAAAAACTACTTTATTTAATTTTTTGTTATCATTAATATCATTATTGCAATCAGTATCTAAAATTAATATGCAGAAGGAGCAGAATATACGTTAAAAAAATTTTTACACTTTAAAGATTAATAGTATAGACACTTTGCATATATATACTTTAAAATTATTAACAAAATACGTACATTAAAATTTTTAAATTCATATATGTTTTAAGCTTCGATGTATGCTATATTTCAATCTATAGAAACTGAAAAATGATATATCAATTAATAATTGACACAAATTGGTTTAAGATTTATGTAATATATACTATATGTTAAAATAGAAATAAAAAAAAATTTTTATTGATCTTCAGAGAATGGGTCATCATTGAAGATTGAATCAAATTTTGTGACCTTTTTTTTTTAAAAAAAAAAAATTTGTTCAAATACAAAAAAAAAAAAAGAAGGTATAATTATAAAATTATCATAATCATCATCATCATCATTATCATTGATAGCTTCTCCAATTTCTTCTTTAGTGGAGTCAACTTTTGATTTTTTTTGATTTTTTTTAGCAGCTTCAACTTCTTCTTCTATGTGAGCAATTTCTGCAAGTTTTTCTTAGGAGATAGATTGCTTTTTTTTATACGCATCCTAAAAAAGGTAATAAAATATTAAATTTGAGTAATGCTAAGGAAAAACTAAAATACTAAAATTCTAAATTCTTTCTTCATAAATTCAGCTTATAATACTACAAAGTAAACGCTAATAGCATTACAAGACATTTTCACCAAAAGAAAAAAAAAATTACCATAAAGACATGAACTTGTCTTGCAACAGATTTGTCAGTGCATTTTATACTAGAACTTTTGGGATTTAGTAAAATATCACAGATCACTATAGTGTATGCACAGTGCATTAGTAGAATACTTTTATTATAGAACTGTTTGAAGGCTGAAAGACAAATAGAGGTAATCAATTTATCTTTATCAAAAAGTGAATCATAAGCTGTGCAGGTTTTTTCAGAGGCCTTCCACTTGGCAAGCTTTGTATTAGACATATTACTATCTACTTTCTCAAGCTGTTTTTTATCGAAAGCAGCAAAGATAGCATTTAGAATAGTAGTAGCTATATTATTTCTTTTATTTCAGCATTTATTTTTTATCTAATAAAAAAAAAAATAAATATAAAATAAAATATTAAATTAATCATATTGAATTTGGTCTTCTCTAGTCAGATTAAAGTTTGAGCTATTATCATAATTTCTAGGACACCTGTAAAATTTGCTGAATAATTTTTCAGTTAATTCAGTTAAGTTATTGATTTCTGTATAATCTGTATACTGTATTCCTGAAATCACAAACTTAATTCAGATCAACTAAAAAATCATTCAGCAAATTTTACAGATATCTAATAATAGCTGTAATAATCAGATGGGTTTTTGTAAAAAAATTTTATAGCTAAAATTTAAAAAAAACTGGCTAGCTAGATCTAATTTAAAATTTCTAAAACCAAATAATTAGGTTTGTTTAGATTATACAAACTAATTTCTAAGTTAATTTTTGAAAACTTAGCATTAGTTATAAAAACCAAGAAATTAGTTTAGTATATAATCTTATAAATAAAAATATGAACTGGTATTTTGGTATTTCTACATCCTTATAAATAATAATACAAACCAAAGATTAATACTATTCGATCACTATGAGAAATTTGATTAACTTCAATATGTACATTATTCAAGAGTGTGAAATACCAAATTGGATATTTTTCTCAAAATTATATAAAATAAATAAAATATTTTATGACATATTTCAGGTAGAAGTTTTTTAGTAAAGTATGATATCCAGGCATTTCTTCTAATAGTATTAATAAAATATTCAGCATGTTTATCCAAGTACCTTTCTAATGCAATTCTTTATTCCTTTGGAAAAGGGTATAGAGTTGCTGGAATTAGTTCTTTCACTACTTCTTTGTACTCTATTCTCCAGAAACTATCAGAAAGTTTATCAAATACAATTAGTTTTTTTATATTTTTTGACATTTTATTTTGCTTATTTGCTATAAAATGGCATAGTTAATACAAAGAATTAAGCTTTTTATTCAAAACTTTTATACTGTAATTAAAGTCATCAATTGTCAAATTCTTTTTTTCTGCAGGAAAATAGCCATTAAACTCTTGTTCGTCCAAGCTCATAGATAGAAAATTATGTATGTTCTTAGATTCTTGGGATGTTTGAAAAGCATATAGCATTTCTTCTTTATTGTTATCATTAGATATAGTGAATGGTAAAGTTTTTTGTTTTTTTGTGTGTGGTCTAACCAGTGGTGAAGATAATTCATTCTGCTCATTATCTGAAATTTCAGTAACTACGAATAATAATAATAGTTAACATTTTTTAAAGTATAAAATATATACTGGTTGAAAATTGTAAAAACAGTACCAAATTATCAAACATTTAGCATACTATTCAGTATACCATTCAGCAAACATTCAGCTGCTGAATGTTTGCTAAATGTTTGCTAAATAGTATGCTGAATGTTTGATGATTTGGTGCTATTTTTATAATTTTTAACTAGTGATATATAATCTGTTTTTTACCTTTTATTGATTTAGGCTCTTGTGTAGCAGATAACATGTTGGTCAATTTAGAACCTTTAACATTAATGTTTTGTAGCATTGTATTTGACTCTAATTTAAAAAATAATAAATAAATTAAAAATATAAACTATTTTTTATTTATTTATTTTTTTGAAAAAAAATAAATAAAAATAAATAAATAAATAAAATTAAAATTACTACTATTGCCACTATGCAGCATCATTCTGAAAACAGATTTCATTTGACTAATAGCTGACTCTTCTGTCTGATCTGTCCCAATAGAGATAGAGTTACTGCTTTCTGCTTTTTTTGAAATACCAAATTTGCTTTTAAATTTTTTTTTTCTACTACTCATGTTAAAAATTCTATAAAAATAGGATTTTAAAAATGAGATTAGAGATAAAATAAACAAATAAAAGTCTTAATTAGAAATTAAATAATTAAATTATATCACTCGATCTCAACTTAATATTTTTCTAATTTCCAAACCATGAAAATTACATTATTATATATTTATCTGTGGCCTCTAAGTCAGATATGCTGTATTATATTTTAAGTTACAGTATAAATATTATTCTATCTCTTTATTAAATATTTGAATTACTAAATTTGACGAGATGTCTAATAAGTTTAGTAAATTCTAACTAGTTAAGACTAATGGTTAGCCTATTTATGCTATTTTTCAAGTCATATTCTGATAATTCTTAATTGTAAAATGACAATTTTTATTTAGTATTTGTATAGCAAAAAGATTTCAATTTGTAATATCTTTAAGTGTATTCATTATTAACGATTTCACAAAAAATAATAATATTATTATTAATTGTAATATTATGCTATAGAAAAAAGATACATTATGAAATAAAGTTATATTATTATTAAAGTTATATAACTAATTATTGTTATAGCATATTAAGACCTTAACTATAACTTTGTCGTATCTCAGAAAACTCTTTGGAATAATATAAAAATTTAAAAACTAAGAAAAATAGTATATTATTGCAGAACTTGTTCAAGAAGATTCATACTTCATATAGATTAACATAGCATATGAATGCAATGCATCGAGGAAGAATTCTTCGTCAGAATGTTAGTCATATTATGCAAAGATTATAACAATGTTAAATATTAAAAGTGTCTGAACAGGAAGAGCCTGAACATGATACTAACTTGTGGAATACATCTGTTATAAAGATACAAAGGCTATCAATATTAACAGAAATTCATATATATAATACAGGAAAAATAGTATAACATGTTTAATCTATAAAATAACTATATCAAATAAATAAAATCTTTTTTGTAATAACAGGATGATACCAATGAACAAGATCGTTATGATAATAAAAATCTTAGTAATATGTCTGTTGAAGAATCTTTAAAAGATACTAGTTCATCATCTATGCTTAAAGAATTTACAATACAGTTGGCCGTAAGTGGTAAGTTATATTGAAAGATTAGAATCAGTCTAGTTGATTAGTCACTAATTAGTTAACTAAAATAGTAGTTAACTAGACTAATTTTATAGTTAACTAAATGATTCCAATCTCTAAATTGTAATTTGGAAGTCTTTCAAAAAATAAAAAATAAAAAAATAAAGCATTTAA